CCCCTGCAAAAGTTCCTCTTCCAAAACCAAAAACAAGAGGGGCGTGAACAGTTTGGGGTCGCATGGGTTGTGAGGTGGGGGGTGGGGTTTGTTACTACACCGATAAATAACAATATCCATCCAGACCTTTGCCACCTGAGAAATTTGTGTGACCGGACCATCTCAAATAGTACTTGAGTGCCCCATGCTCTATGCCATTTAGCAGTATATGTGTTTCAGATCAACATACAGTGTGTGAATACATCGTAGTACGATATAGGTGTCTCTCCACTCTGTGACATCACAGGACCTCTGTGACATCACAGGACCTCTGTGACATCACAGTAAATAACCGACTGACCAGACAGCAGCATGGGATCCCTGTCGGCGTCTTTCTTGACGTGATCAGACTCTCCTGTTAGTGAACTCTCATCAATCTTCAGGTCGTTGCCCTGTATCAACACTCCATCCGCTGGAAGCAGGTCACCTGCACAACACAACAGAACAAAAAAAATATATACTATTTTAATAAAACAACATAACATATACTATTTTATAACAGTCCCGTGTAGCTCAGTTGGTAGAGCATGGCGCTTGCAACGCCAGGGTTGTGGGTTCGATTCCCACGTGGGACAAGTTTAAAAAATAAACAAAATAAACAAATGTTTGCACTCACTACCTGTAAGTCGCTCTGGATAAGAGCGTCTGCTACAATGACTAAAATGTTTTTAAAATAACACATTCACAGAAAACAGATACTGTTTAATAACACTGCAGTCATAAAATACATTTAAAAAAGAATAGCAGTTCAGAGACTCAGAAGCAGATAGGTAGCATCCAGACAGGAGAACAGATTTTATTTTATAAGACTGCAGCTACAAACAACTCCCAAAATAACATTGCAAAAAGGCTACTGTTGAGAGGTTCAGATCACAGTAAATAGCATCTGGTCACGTCTCCTCCCGTTGCTCCCCTCCGGCGCTCTGATTCGCCGGTCTACTGAGCCACCGGTCTGAGCGCACCACCTCGGCAACACAGGAATGGAAACCGAACGCACCCTAATCACCTCCAGAAGCACCTGCACCTCATCATCTCATCACCACCCCTATTTAGCCCTGGACTGTTCTGGAAGATGATGTGTGTGATTGTTTAGCTTCGTGTCGTTAACTCCATCTTTCTTAATTCTCTTTGTCATTGTTTAGTAAACCTTGACCTTGTTAATTCCTGCGTCTGCGTCCTGCCTCTTCGTATACTCAGTACTCGTCACACATCCTGTCTGATTCCCAGCCATGTGTCTTTGTGATAATGTGTATTATACTGTAGAGATGCAAGGGGGCTCAACGAGAAGACCTGTCCTCTCTTTCTCTTCAACTATTCAGACTGATCAAACCTGGGACATCAGGTGAATAGAATCAATCAATTGATTACTAGGTAGAAAACCAGGCGTACTCAGGCCCTCCAGATTAGAATACTCTGATGGATGCTGTGAGGATTATGGGTAATCTCGTTCCCAGACACTTCCGCCCAAAAAAGCACAAAGAGTGTGGTGGACCAACGCATCAAACTTGGCCTTTGTTAGCAAATAGAAAGACCGGGAGAAACACTCTGCGCGATAGGCATTGGCTTAATCGGTTTAATCTACCAACCAATCATCTCTCACAACACCTACCCCCTAACTCTCCCAGTATGTCTTCCAAACATGTCTTGCCTCCAGTTGGAGCGAAGTCCAGCAGTCGTGTGATTTGCTAGAATTAAATGACAAATACTTTACTCAGTAAGGTCACTCCCATAGAATTGTATGGTCACTCCTACTATGGCCAACTTAGAATGGTTGATATCCCAGGCTTATATGTGCTGTGTGCAGTTGTCTCGAGACAAGGTTATGGTTCGGGCTGCCTCAATGACCGTGTGCAGTAGTCTGGGGACGAGGTTAGGGTTAGGGTTAGGGTTAGGGTTAGGGTCAGGGTTAGGGTTAGGGCTGTGTGCAGTAGTCAGGGTCAGGGTTAGGGTCAGGGTCAGGGTTAGGGTCAGGGTCAGGGTTAGGGTTAGGGTCAGGGTTAGGGTTAGGGTCAGGGTCAGGGTTAGGGTCAGGGTCAGGGCTCTATGGTATCCATACCTACCATACTTGATTTGTGCGATGTCCCCGACCACGATGTCAGCCACGGGGAGCTGGATGACCTCAGCACCTCTAACCACCTGGAACTTCTGCTCCTGCTCGATGCGGCTCTGCAGCCCTCTGAACTGCTTCTCCTTGCTCCAGTCGTTGAAGGCTGTCACCAGCACAACACACACTACAGACAGTAAGATGGCTGCTCCCTCTATCCAGCCGGCCTCAGCCTCACCCTCGTCCTCCGCGCCCGCCGCCGCTGTCCCACAGGCTGAGAGAGAGAGAGAGAGAGAGAGATTACAGCGATCCACAAAGAATTCGAAAACATACCCAATTTTGATTAAACTCCCTTATCTACTGGATGAAATACCACAGTGATCCATCACAGCTGCAAGATTTGTGACCTGTTGCCACAAGAAAAGGGCAACCAGTGAAGAACAAACACCATTGTAAAAACAACCCATATTTATGTTTATTTATTTTCCCATTTGTACTTTAACTATTTGCACATCGTTACAACACTGTATATATACATAATATGACATTTGAAATGTCTTTATTCTTTTGGAACTTCTGAGTGTAATGTTTACTGTTAATTTTTATGGTTTATTTCACTTTTGTTTACTATCTACTTCACTTGCTTTGGCAATGTTAACATACGTTTACCATGCCAATAAAGCCCTTAAATTGAAATTGAATTGAAAGGGGAGAGGTTAGATGCACACACAAACACATTCAAAACGACTATTCAATGCTTTGTATCTAACATTTTCCTTTGTATGAAAAAAAAACCTTGACAGGACTTTATTCACATGCTTATAACCTTTTGATCTACTTGTGATAGACTGGATGAATAAACTTGCATCATGTACACATGCGCACACACACACATACACAAACAAATTATTTATATATACACTAGATGACAGAGAGGGGGCGCTGTTTTGAAGCTACTGCATCTCCATCTAGGCACTTCACCATTGTATTTTCTTTTTAGAAAACTATAGAAATGCATTTATTAATGTCTACATTAGTATTTGCCATGTTTATTCAATTACAGACACCTTAATGCATGCTTTTTAATTATATTACAGTATGTGAGCTGAACATGCACTTATGAAATGAACAAATATAAAATATGTTTTCCTTAAAATATATATTTAGAAAGTACTAATGCTGCTGTCCCCACTACCACAACAACATACTTAAATACATGTAATTTTAATTGAAATACTGTGGAGGACTGATTCTTCTGGAAAGTGCCAATATGGCCGACACTTAACAACAGAAATCCAGGGTTTACATACATTTGACACACACACACACACACAAAAAAAAAAAAAATCTTTTATTCAATGCTCTGCATGTATCAAACATTTTCCTTTCCGTGAATAACAGTTGTATACCTTAATTCTTCCTCTGCTCCCATGTAGCTTTACTGTGATAGACTGTAGGAATTAGATTCCGCTACAGGTGCTGATGTGTTCCATTCATTTATGTGGACAGAAGCATTCTACTATTTTCCTAAACGCATTGGGTTCTACTACACAGCATTGTGTTCTACTACACAGCATTGTGTTCTACTACTACTACACAGCATTGTGTTCTACTACAAAGCATTGTGTTCTACTACTACTACACAGCATTGTGTTCTACTACACAGCATTGTGTTCGACTACACAGCATTTGTGTTTCTATAATACACACAGCATGGTGTTCTACTACACAGCATTGGTTCTACTACTACTACACCGCCATTGTGTTCTACTACAAGATTGTGTTCTACTACAACAGCATGTGTTCTATCTATACAGCATGTGTTCTACTAACAGCATTTGTGTTCTACTCACAGCATTGTGTCTACTACACATCATTTGTGTTCACTACAACTACACAGGCATTGTGTTTACTAGACAGCATTGTGTTTCTACATACAGCATTGTGTTTCTAGACACAGCATTGGTTCTACTACACATCATTGTGTTCTATACACAGCTGTGTCACTACCACATCATTGTGTCTACTACACAGCATTGTGTTCACTACACAGCATTGTGTTCTTACTACTACTACACAGCATTGCTGTTCTAATACTACTATACAGCATTGTGGTTCAAAACTAAACAGCATTGTGTTTAAGAACCACATCGTGTTCTACGACACAGCATGTGTTATACTATACAGCATTGTGTCTACTACACAGCATTGTGTTCTACTACACGCATTGTGTTCTACTACACAGCATTGTGTTCACTTACACAGCATTGTGTTATACACACAGGCATTGTGTTATAATACTACTACACAGCATTGTTGTTCTAGACACAGCATTGTGTTCTACTACACAGGCATTGGTTCTAATACTACTAAACAGCATTGTGTCTGACTTACAACAGCATGTGTCTACTACACAGCATTGTGTCTACCAATACAGCATTGTGTGCTACTACACAGCATTGGTCTACACACCGCATTTTTGTGTTCTACTATACAGCCATGTGTTCTACTACACAGCATTGTGTTCTACAACACAGCATTGTGTTCTACTACACAGCATGTGTTCTACTACACAGCAATTTTTTTTTTTGTTGGTTCTACTACTACAATACAGCATTGTGTTCTACTACACAGCTTGTGTTCTATACACGGCATTGTGTTCTACTACACAGCATTGTGGCTCTACTACTAACAAACAGCATTGTGTTCTCCTACACATAGTGTGTTCTCTACTAAAAATACAGCATTGGTTCTACTACTAAAATACAGAATTGTGTTTATACTACACAGCATTGCGTTCTACTTACACAGCATATGTGTTCTACTATACTACACAGCATGTGTTCTACTACAAAGATTGTGTTCTTACTTACACAGCATAGTGTTCTACTACACAGCATTGTGTTCTTACCTACACAGCATTGTGTTCTACTAAACTACACAGCATTGTGTTCTACTACACAGCATTGGTTCTACTACTACTACACAGCATGGTATTCTATACACAGCATTGGTGTTCTACTACACAGCATTGTGTTCTATATACAGCATGGTGTTCCATACTATACAGCATTGTTTTCTAAACTCCACAGAATTGGGTTCTACTAAACATCATTGTGTCTACTACACAGCATTGTGTTCTACACACATCATTGTGTTCTACTAACACAGCATTGTGTTCTACTACACAGCATTGTGTTCTACTCTACTACACAGCATAGGTCTACTACTTTACTAGACAGCATGTGTTCTACACACAGGCATTGTGTTCTACTACACAGCATTGTTTCTAATACACAGCTTTGTGTCTACTACACCAGCCTGTGTTCTACCTACACAGCATGTGTTCTTACTACAAGCATGTGTTCTCATACACAGCATTGTGTTTACTATAATCATTGTGTTCTACTTACACAGCATGTGTTCTACTACACAGCATTGTGTTCAACTATACAGGCATTGTGTTTTCTACTACACAGGCAATGTGTTACTACACGCATTGTGTTCTACTATACAGCATTGTGTTTACTACAAGCATTGTGTTATACTAAACAGCATTGTGTTTCTACTACAACAGCCTTGGGTTCTACTACACAGCATTGTGTTCTACTACACATCATTGTGTTAGACTACAGCATGGTGTTCTACACACGCATTGTGTTCTACGATACAGCAATTGTGTTCTACTATACAGAATTGGTGTTCTACTACACAGCATGTGTTCTACTACACCGCATGTGTTCTACTATACGATTGTGTCTATACTTACAGCAGTGTATGTTCTACTACACAGCATTTTGTGTTATACTACACAGCATTGTTCTACTACACAGCAGTGTGTTATACTACTACCACAGAATTGTGTTCTTACTACCCAGAATTGTGTTATACTATTACAGCATTGTGTTCTAATTTAACACAGCATTGTGTTCTACTACACAGCATTGTGTTCTACTACACAGCATTGGTTCTACTATACAGCATTGTGTTCTACTATACACATTTGTTATGTTTACTACCCGCATTGTGTCTAAACACAGAATGTGTTCTACTATGACAGCATATTGTGTTCTCTACACAGCATGTGTTCTACTACACAGCATTGTGTTCTACTACACAGCATTGTGTCTACTACACAGCATTGTGTTTACTACTACTACAGCAGTGTTCTACTACACAGCATGGTGTTCTACTAACAGGAATTGTGTTCTACTAACTACACAGCATGGTTCTCTACTACACAGGCATTGTGTTCTACAATACAGCATTGTGTTCTACTACACAGCATTGTGTACTACTACACAGCATTGTGTTGACTATACAGCATTGTGTTCTACTACACAGCATTGTGTTATACACAGCATTGTGTTCTAATACACAGATTGGGTTTTACTTACCAACAGCATGTGTTCTACTACTCCAATTACAGCATTGGTTCTACTACCAAGCTTTGTGTTCTACTACACAGCATTGTGTTCTACTACACAGCATTGTGTTCTACTACTACAATACAGCATTGTGTTCTACTACACATCATTGTGTTCTACTACTAAAATACAGCATTGTGTTCTACTACACAGCATTGTGTTCTACTACACAGCATTGTGTTCTACTACACAGCATTGTGTTATACGACTTGATGCACGCATTGTGTTCTATACAAAGCATTGTGTTCTACTACACAGCATTGTGTTCTACTACACAGCATTGTGTTCTACTACACAGCATTGTGTTCTACTACTACTACACAGCATTGTGTTCTACTACACAGCATTGTGTTCTACTACTACTACACAGCATTGTGTTCTACTACACAGCATTGTGTTCCTAGCTACACAGGAATGTGTTCTACTATAAGCATTGGGTCACTAACAGCATTGTGTTCTTACTACACAGCAGTGGGTTTACTACACATCATTGTGTATCTACTACTACTACACAGCATTGTGGTTTACTAACAGCATTTGTGTTCTACTATCAGCATTGTGTTCTACTACCACAGCATTGTGTCTACTACACATAATTGTGTTCTACTACACAGCATTGTGTTCTACTACACATTCATTGTGTTCTACTACACAGCATTGTATGTTCTACTCCCCCACAGCATGTGTTCTACGACACAGGCATTGTGTTCTACTATACTACCACCAGCATTGTGTTCTACTACTACTATACAAGCATTGTGTTCTACTTACACAGCATGTGTTCTACTACACAGCATTGTGTTTACGTACACAGCATTGTGTCTACTACACAGCCTTGTGTTCTCCTACACAGCATTGTGTTCTACTATACATATGTGTTCTACTACACAGCATTAGGTTCTCTACACAGCATTGTGTTTTAACTATACAGCATTGTGTTCACTACACAGCATTGGTGTTCTACTCCAGCAATTGTGTTCTATACACAGCATTGGTTCTACTATACAGCATTGTGTTTCTACTACACAGAATGGGTTATGCTACCCCCCCCCCCCCCCCCCCCCACCCCCCACAGCATTGGTTCTACTACCCAGAAGGTGTTCTACTACACATCATTGTGTTCTACTACCAGAATTGTGTTCTAACTATAACAGCATTGTGTTCTAATACACAGCATTGATGTTCTTACTACACAGCATTGTGCTTTAATACACAGCATTGTGTTCTACTACACAGGCATTTGTGTTTCTACTATACGCATTGTGTTCTACTACACAGGCATTATGTTCTACTACACAGAATTGTGTTTCTACTTACACAGCATTGTGTTCTATATACTACACAGCATTGTGTTCTACTTACACAGCATTGTGTTCTTACTATACAGCATTGTGTTCTACTACACAAGCATTGTTGTTTACTACTACAACACAGCATTGTGTTCTAACTACACAGATTGTGTCTACACGTACTACACAGAATTTGTTACTACACAGGCATTGTGTTTCTACTATACAGCATTGTGTTCTACACAAAGCATTGGTTCCTACTATACAGCATTGTGTTCTACTACACAGCATTGTGTTCTACTACACAGCATTGTGTTCTACTATACAGCATTGTGTTCTACTACACAGCATTGTGTTCTACTACTACTACACAGCATTGTGTTCTACTACTACAGCATTGTGTTCTACTATACAGCATTGTGTTTTCTACTTATTTTGGGGGGTTGGCAGCATTGTGTTATACTACACATGAATTGTGTTATACTTACAGCATTGTGTTCTACCTACACAGCATTGTGTCTACTACACGCATTGGGTTCTACAATATTAGCATTGTGTTCTATACACAGCATGGTGTTCACTAACAGCATGGTGTTCTCTATACAGCATTGTGTTTCTCCTACACAGGGCATGTGTTCTAACACAGGCATTGTGTTCTACTACAAGCATTGTGTTCTATACACACATTGTGTTCTACTACTACAAATACAGCATTGTGTTCTATACACATCATTGTGTCTACTACTAAATACAGCATGTGTTCTACTACACAAAAAAAGGGGGGGGCCCATTTGTGTTTACCTCACAATTGTGTTCACACACAGCATTGTGTTCTACTAATACTACACATCATTGTGTGCTACTACAAGCATGTGTTTCTACTACACAGCATTGTGTTATACTCACAGCTTTGTGTCTACTACACAGCATTGTGTTCTACTACGACTACACAGCATTGGTCTACGCACAGCATTGTGTTCTACTATACTACCAGCTTGTGTTCTACTACACAGCATAAGTGGTGTCTACTACACAGCATTGTGTTTACTACTACTACACAGCATTGTGTCTCCTACACAGCATTGTGTTCAAACTACTACACAGCATTGTGTTTAGTTTACTACACATCATTGTGTTCTACTACACAGCATGTGTTTCTACTATACAGCATTGTGTTCTATATACAGCAGTGTGTTTACACACAGCATTGTTTCTACTACACATCATTGTGTTTTCTACTACTACTACACAGCATGGTGTTCTACTATACAGCAGTGTGTTCTACTTATACAGCATTGTGTTCTACTCACAGCATTGTGTTCACTACACAGAATTGTGTTCTACTACTACTACACAAGCATTGGTGTTATACTACTACACAGCATTGTGATTCTTATATTACAGCATGTGTTCTTACTACACAGCATTGTGTTCTAAGATACAGGCATTTGTTCTACTACACAGGCATGGGTTCGACTACTACTACACAGCATGTGTTCTATACACAGCATGTGTTCTAATTACAGCATGTGTTCTACTTAACAGCATTGTGTTCTACTATACAGCATTGTGTTCTACTTACACAGCATTGTGTTCTAATACACAGCATTTGTGTTCTACTTATACAGGCTAGGTTCTACGACCACAGCATGTGTTCTACTACTACTACACAGCATGTGTTCTTATACTACACACAGATTGTGTTCACATACAGACAGTGTTGTTCTATACACAGCATTGTGTTCTACTCTACAGATTGTGTTCTACTACACAGCATTGTGTTTACGATACAGCAATTGTGGGTTTCTTTTAACTACACAGCTTTGTGTTCTACTTACACAAGCATTGTTGTTCTACAATATAGACATGTGTTCTACTCACAGCATTGTGTTCTATACACAGCATTGTGTTTCTATACAGCATTGTGTTCTACTACACAGCATTGTGTTCTACTTACACAGGCATTTTGTTCTACTACAAAGCATTGTGTTTTACTACACAGCATTGTGTTATACTACTAACAATACAAGCATTTGTGTTTCTACTACACATCATTGTGTTCTATACTTTAAAAATACAGCATTGTGTTCTATACACAGCATTGTGTCTCTACTACACAGCATGTGTTCTACTACACAGAATTGTGTTTACTACTACTACACATCATTGTGTTCTATACACCCAAGCATTGTGTTCGACTACAAGC